TTCAACTTTACAGAAATCATAGTTTTCAGAGTTTTTTTCTTAGAAATTTGTTAGTGATAAGTTTAAATTGAATTTCTTTAATTTCTGGAGGTAGCAGGTATGAAATTAATTTAGTTCTGATCATCTTTTTTGCTTCTACGGTATACAGAAATCGTTGAGATATAAGCTGCGTTCAAAATCATGGGCTGCGTATTCCAAGGACGCCGATCCTTCCTGGACTGGATCCTTCGAAGTCCTTGAAAATAAGGAGCCAGGAAGAGTTCTGGCTGTGGATTCAAACAGGTCCAGCCTTCTGCAGCTTTCACCATCCATACGCTCCGTCGCTTAGCAACCGTGACAGTTGACACACAAAGCAGGAAAAGAAAGAATGTCAAACTTTTCAAAATTTTTTCTGTTTAATTTTTTTTTATTGTAAAGTGAACAAAGATACACTCATGAGAATCCAGAGTGGAATAAAGGTTCCAACAATCGGGAGCAGGAACAGATCAAATCAAATGTAATGATAGAAACCTTAGTCAGTTAAATAACCTGCTGCTGTCATTCTGCACATCTCTGATGTTGCTGCTATTTTCAACATTACTTTAAAATTGACCATAGCTGCATATTGGTTATTTATTCTCCAGGTGCAAAGTTTGATGTTGTTAAAAAAAACTTTACATTATTTTAATGTTTATATTTTCACTGTTCACTATTGTTATTCTTATACAGTTTTCTAAGGTCCACATTTATGTGACCATTTTTCTCAATAATCTTTTTGCAACCCAGAATTTCCACCTTATGGGACAATAAAGGGATTTTCTATTCTATTCTATCCTATTCAGTTCTATAAAAGGGGTAGAAATATATAAGTAAATCGAAACAATGTATGTATAAAAAATATATCAGCAAAATCTGTAATATTCAACAACAAAAAATACTTAGTTAAGCAAATTGTGCAAAACAGCAATAAGAAAATTAAAATCCTATCAGATTTATAGTTCCCACCCTGCAGATCTATTAGAATCTGTCCTTAAATTTCAGCCAAACTCATTTACACAATAACAGATAAAAACCTTTAGATAAACCAAACATTACCGCCACATATCTGACTCTATAACCATTAAAACAACTATTTTCATTCATTTCAGATAAAACTATTCACATACTTTGATTATATTGAACTAAACTTCTAATATTCACCACTGTTTGGTACCTTTAAGTACCTTTTTCCTCTGAGCAGGGAGCAGCCACCTTGATTGGACTCGCAATGAATCCTGGGAGACCCAAGGTTACGCAGGATATCCTACAAATCGAGCAAAAAGAAGGACGCATTTGTAGGCCGAATAACGAGGACTCTTGGAATCCAACTAGACTTCCTGCTATGACATCATCAGCCCTTAAATCTGGCCTTCTGAGGACGCAGCCCATTAATTCAAACGCACCCCTATTCTCTCTTTATTTCTTGTCTGCTGAAAGTTTAGAGAGCCTGACGTACGTCATGACTAAGTACATCAACAACGGCGTTGAGAGCCTGACATATGGAGGGGTGGAGTTTGCATGTCACACCAAAGGGTTGAAAAAGAATCTGCTCAAATTCTGTTTAAAGGAAAAGTCTCATTAGCAAGGAATAATCAATGGATCATTATTTATACCTAAAACTAATCAATTTGTGGTGAATTATTTTGAAATCACCGCAAAATAAATTGCTTTGCATCATAGCCGTAGGGATCAGTGGTCATAACCTGCAGCGCGGCGCGGTGCCAGGCAGGTGGCTGTTGTAAACACAGAGGTGGGCGTGTCTCGGACCATGGATCCCAAAGGGAAAAAAAGGAAGATATCTGATGAGAACAGAGGATTCAAAGAAGAATGGAGCGAATCATTGTCTTTCATTACCAATGAGGAAGGATCGCCTGCATGTTTGCTTTGGAATGAGAGGTTAGAAGTTGTCAAATAATAAAACTATTCATTACGAAAGGCATTTCCAGGGACGGCTAAATATGCAGCCAACCAACAAGCTGGGAGGAGAGAAAAAGTGTGATTGCAAAATTTAGAGGAGAGCAAAGATAGATTTAAAAAGTAGATTGCATCTCCAAACTCCACTACTGCTGCTAGTTTGGTTGCAAACATAGAAAATCTTTCATAGATCCAACATGCACTGCAAAAAACATCTACAAATAAGTAAAAAATGTCTTAAATTAAGTGTATTTATGCCTAATTTGAGCAGGTAAATAAGATGATCTGCCAATGGAATCA